TTACAATTGTTTTGAGTGTGGAAAACCAGGCCACATAAAGGCTGAATGTCCAAACCTTCTAAAGAAGCAAAAAGAGGAAAAGAAAGTGAAGAAAAATTACAAAGGAAAAAGAGCCTACATTGCTTGGGAAGACAATGACTCAAGCACAACAAGTGATGAATCTGAATTTGAAGAAAACAACTTATGTCTGATGGCTGGAGCTGATCAAGACACAATAGTAAGTGATTCTGATCTTGAATCTAATCCGAATTATGATCAACTTCAAGAAGCTTTCATTGAAATTCACAAAGAGGCTATAAAGCTAGAAGCTTTAAATTCAAAGCTTAAAAACAAGCTGTCATGGTATGAAAATGCTTTAATTAAAGCTAAACAAGAGCTTGAGAATTTGAAAAATGAATATGAAAACCTTCAAACTATTTTAAACTTCAATGAAGCTCATTGTGAAGCCTCCCCTTCTTCAAAAATTGATTGTGAAAATCACAAGACTTTTGCTGATTTGAAAAACTCTCTTGCAAAATTCACAAATGGAAATGCAAATTTGAATATCATTTTGGGAAAGCAAATAAATGTTTTTGATAGAAGTGGACTTGGCTTTAATCAAAGCATGAACATGCCATCAAAATCAAGTAAAAGAGTCTTTAATAGGGACAAATCTTTTAGAAAGTTTAAAGGCAATTTCATAAAACAAACCACATGCTATTATTGTTGTAAGAAAGGACACACAATAAGAAATTGCTATTATAAGAAATATGGTGTTCCAAATGGAGAAATGATTTGGATTAAAAAGAGGCAAAGGCTGAGAACTAACCTTTAAGGACCCTTCAAATGGGTACCTAAATCATTTTTCTGATTGTGTTGTAGGAATGCTTTGAGAGCTAAAAGCTTATTATGGTATCTTGATAGTGGCTGAAAGCTAGAAGCTTTAAATTCAAAGCTTAAAAACAAGCTGTCATGGTATGAAAATGCTTTAATTAAAGCTAAACAAGAGCTTGAGAATTTGAAAAATGAATATGAAAACCTTCAAACTATTTTAAACTTCAATGAAGCTCATTGTGAAGCCTCCCCTTCTTCAAAAATTGATTGTGAAAATCACAAGACTTTTGCTGATTTGAAAAACTCTCTTGCAAAATTCACAAATGGAAATGCAAATTTGAATATCATTTTGGGAAAGCAAATAAATGTTTTTGATAGAAGTGGACTTGGCTTTAATCAAAGCATGAACATGCCATCAAAATCAAGTAAAAGAGTCTTTAATAGGGACAAATCTTTTAGAAAGTTTAAAGGCAATTTCATAAAACAAACCACATGCTATTATTGTTGTAAGAAAGGACACACAATAAGAAATTGCTATTATAAGAAATATGGTGTTCCAAATGGAGAAATGATTTGGATTAAAAAGAGGCAAAGGCTGAGAACTAACCTTTAAGGACCCTTCAAATGGGTACCTAAATCATTTTTCTGATTGTGTTGTAGGAATGCTTTGAGAGCTAAAAGCTTATTATGGTATCTTGATAGTGGCTGCTCAAGGCATATGACTAGAGATCCTTCAAAATTCTCAAGTCTAAAATTAAAGAATGAATGATTTGTTACTTATGGTGACAACAACAAAGGGAAGATTCTTGGTCATGGAAACATTGGTAACTCTTCCTCCTCAACATTGATTGAAAATGTATTGCTTGTTGAAGGGCTGAAACACAACTTGCTTAGTATAAGCCAACTTAGTGACAAAGGATTTAAAATTGAATTTGATAACACTTTTTGTTTAATCTGTGATAAATTGACAAAAGAAATTAGATTCATTGGAAAAACAATTGACAACATCTACATGCTAGATTTAGAACACTCAATTGCAATTTCTAACACCAAGTGTTTGATAACCTGATGGAAGAACTTTGGAGGAGGCCGGATTGATGTAGCTTCCTTCAAGTCTTTCCCTAGATCTTTGTACTCCTAGAATCCTTCCAATGCTTGTGTAAGGCTCCAATGGAGGGAGGAACCTCACGGCCACCTTAAGATGGTGGAGAAGCCTCTCAAGAATGCGCCACTCTTGGTGAAGGGATAAGCACTCTTCAATCCGCCACACTTGTCTTTGGAAA